CATTGGGTATTGTTCATTTTATATGCTGGGGGGTGCTGGGCCAGTCAAATAAACAGGTTCTTTCCACCTCTCTCCGAGGAATTTTTTCCCGAACCGGTTGGGGGGAGGGGCCATGTGGATTTCGCTTTCTGGAGGGGCCCTCCTTTGCAGATTCTTTAACAAATTTGCCCTAAACCAGGACAAACAGTAAAACCTAAACAATATTAATCAATAAACCCCCTTGCTGCTCCAAAAGAGATGACAAACGCAGAAAGTCCCTCCCCGGGTTGCAGCTCAGCTCACTCAGTCTCTGATCAGTCCCTCAGTGCTGGAAATGTCGCAGGCCAGGCCCGGCCTGGCGGGCCCCAGGTGTGAGCTGCCGGTGCTCCCCTGGGTGTTCAGTCCAGAGCAGGTTTGAACAGCTCCAAAGAAAAGGGAAAAAAGGAAAAGCCCACAGTCCAGGGAACTTTGCCTCAGCTAGCTAAACTAACTAAAAGCAAAGGAGAGCTCTGTCCCACTGTCTGTCCATCCGCAGACAACACAGTCAGGAGCAGGAATGTGGAGGAGTGAGCGCAGTGTCTGAAAACAAACTGCACTCCTTCTCTGCCCCCTTCACTCTCTGCAACAAGTCTTAAACGTGCAAAACTTATTATTCAGCATAAACAGAACAAGGTGATTTGGGATAAAAGCATCATATAGTCAACCTAGGACAGGGGTTGATATTGTTTCCATAATTTTTGGGTTTGTTTTGGAGTCTCTTTTACACATAACTAATACTCTAGGACTCAAGTTTGTCTTTTTGTCTTTCCGGCTTAGGAGCAACAATAAAGCAATTCTGATAGTTCACCAAATGGTGAAGCATTACTTTAAAGGATTCTTTTTTTTCCAATCTGAATCATGCAAGCTTTTTCTTACAAATATTTTGTATCTATGTAGTTATACTTCAGTTATCAGAGAGACATCGATTATAGGATTCTTAATTGTTTGAATTTTGTTCAATCCGCTCTATAAAAGGCAACATTTGGAGGTGGAGTTTCCTTGAAAAACAGAGAGGTTCCTTGGAAAACAGGGAGGTTTCAGTTTGAAAAGGGAATCATGTATTTTGTGATGCTTCTAAAGAATAAAAATGTATAAATTATGCCTTGCTAGGATAAGATGCTTTAAATGCATAGGGCATTAAATGGATTGGGTTTGCAGTGCATGATTGTCAAAAGTGAGGACTAGGCACACTTTGGGACTAATTCAAATAAATGTTTCAGAACCATATCAGGAACTCATTCAGTCCTGTACTGGCATGAATGACAGTTCTACCTCCCAACGGTGCTGAATTCTAGAGGCAGTTACAACTGAATACTAACAGAAGTTGGAGGTAATGTGCTGTCCTGGATTCTGCATTTGAAGGCAGGCACAGGGGATTTAATTGCTGCTCTTGTAACTAGTCAAAATGACAAAGGGAATGCAGTAGCTGAGATTTAAAAAAATTGTGAGTGTAGTTAGAAGCAGAGTTGTCTGTGGTAGGCTATGACTTCGGTTTATAAAATTGGTAAAGGCAAGAGATGAACTGTTGTTCACTAAATCTTACCACAGAAGAGCTAGGAAATTAATTTAAATAGATAGATAAGTATGCTTCAATACAGTGCATAGTGGACTTCTGGATGTTGTGGAGGCAGACACAAAGTGAACAGATGCAAAAAAAGATGGACAAACTGTGAGGGATGACTGGTCCATAAACAGATAAGGAATAAGCAGGGATAATTTTTAGCATTCATAATCCAGTTCTTGTAGGTCCTAGGGGAGCACCAGAGTGATGAACTCTAGGTCATGTTGAGTATCATGTGTCCTGCTGCTACTTGGCAAGGTTGTCCATGCCTCTGGCCCAGTAAGGTGGATTTTGTACCCTTAACATAAAACAGTATTAAGTGGAAAACAAACAGAACAGTGGAAAATTTCATGTAGTGATCACTGGGTTTTTTTACCCCTTGGGAGGAAGGGTTGAAGTCCAAGATGCATTTTGAACTTCATGCATAATTTTAGCTTGGGCCTCAGCTTGCTAACCTTAGCTGTCATTACTATTTTGACCTGAAGGTGAGCTGCTGGCTAGTGTTTTGAAATCCCAGGCCTAAAAGTGGCATCCATTTTAATGTGCAGTACTGACAGAATGGTGGATTGCAGCTGTGGGCAGGGGCTAACTGTCAGTCCTGAACCTCCTGCTGTCCTGATATAATCAAAGCCAGGCTGCATGACTGCTTTGTCTCCTGACCTTTTACTGGCCAGCAAAGGAAACCTTTGCCTTCTTTCAGCTGAGAGTGGTGCTGCTTGCTGCTCTCCTTCAGCCAAGGGGAGAATGAGAGGAGAGGTTCAGTACTTGGCTGGAAGGCAAGGCTGCCTTCGCTACCTCCCAACTGAGATTTTCTTTTTTTCTTGATTGTGTGAGTACATAGTTCAGAATTGCTCTCTTGTTGCTTTTAGTCAGAAAATAAAGTATGATGGCAGAGAAGCTCTTGGGCAACCACCTGCCTCACCTGATGATGATGATAAACACCAGTGACTGGAAGTCTCTATTGAGATCAGTGTCTCCTTGTGTGAGTGCTTTACTGATGCACTAAACTTTATTGCAGTTATTGGTTTGAGTGGAAAAGTTATTGCTGTCAAGAATAGTTATCTCTCAATAGACCTGAGCTTGGCATAGGCCCTAATGGAGATGGCATTGGCAAAATAATTTGACATTATCAAAATCAAAATGTTTACCCAACTATTTGAAAACTTTGAAGTCTCAGACTGAAAGGTATGTATAATTCATGGAGTTTAAGCAATCATAATTC